TCATTTGCTGCTGTGGCCCCCAGACTCTGGAACTCTCTCCCCCTGAGCCTGAGATCAGTGGACTCCTTTAAAAAGCAGCTGAAGACTCACTTGTTCAAGCTGGCTTTTGTATGACCTTCTTCACCACTCTCTCTTTATTCTGCTCTCCCCACCTATTCCACCTTCCTCAGGATCCACTGACTTCCCTCTTTCCTATTCACTCTCGGCCTTTATTAATATATTTTAATCACATTTGTCTATTTTTTGCTCATTTTAAATATAATTTTAACCATTTTCGAAATTCTTTTTTATATTTTTACTTTTTTTTGTTTTTGTGAAACACCTCATGATTTTTATCTTGAGAGGCGCTATAGAAATGATATTTTCTTCTTCTTCTTCAAGCCATCATGTCCTCTCATTCTATGCTTTTGATCATGTTTCACTTGCTGATTTGGATAAACTGATCGGGTCCATAAGGCTCTCAGGCTCTGCAGCAGACTCCCTATCTCCAAAATTGTTACATGGGGTCCACCCTGAAGTGAGCCCTGTTGTTTTGAACATTATCAACAACAGCCTATCCTTTGCAGTATTTCATGTGGCCTTTAAAAAGGTGGTGGTTCAGCCACCATTGAAAAAACCTGGTCTAGATCAAAATTACTTTACAAATTTATGTCTAATCCCCAAACTTCTATTTCGGTCCAAGGTTTTAACCCTTTCAGGCTCAAAATAAGTTTTGATAAATGGACAAACAACTAAATCCTTCAGGGGTACTTCTGATTTAAAGAATGCTCATGAAATACGTATGTGGAGAAACCAGGTGGGTAGGTTTTAATGTTGCATATCTGCAACGCCTGCCTCCAGAGGGTTAAAGAAAAAAAAATGCTCAACTTTCAGCTTATTTAAAGAACAACTGCCTATTTGACCTATTTCAGTCTGGCTTCAGGCCCTCACACAGCACAGAATCTGCCCACATACAGTACAGGCCAAAAGTTTGGACACACTTTTTGACTGAGGTAGTCCTTCAAGACTTTTGAAAAACCATTTCAGGTAACTACCTCTTGAAGCTCATCAAAGGCCAAGAATGTACAAAGCAGTAATCAGAGCAAAGGGTGGCTTTTTGAAGAAAATAGAATAAAAAACATGTTTTCAGTAATTTCTCTTTTTCTGGTTAAGTACACAACTCCACGTGTGTTCATTCATAGTTTTGATGCCTTTGTGAGAATCTACCAATGTAAATGGACATGAAAATAAAGAAAACACATTGAATGACAAGGTGTGTCCAAAATTTTGACGTGTACTGTATGTGTGCTAAATGACATCTTGGTTGCATCCAATACTGGCTCCCATGTCCTCTTACTACTGCAGGACCTTTTTGCAACATTTGATACGGTCATTCACAGCATCTTGATAAATAGACAGGAATCATAAAAATAAACAATCAATGATGAACAAGAGTCTGCTTCTAGACCTGCAGAAAGAGAAAACAAAATAAAGGGACACACAACAATACATCTAGAGCAAGCTATCACTGTGTCATCCTGATGAGGAAGTATAAAATCAACATTTTTTTTCTGAACAATCACACGATAATAAATCACAGTGCATTAAGTGCCAACCACAGCCTTAAGACATGTGTTGAACGTGCCCAAGTCCATACTTATGAGAGCACCATGTGAGCACCTGTGTGTGTACACGCACTTGTATATGTAAGGTTTCTCTATAGGAGCATCCAATAGTGAGTGTGAAGGGCCACAGATCTGGTCCCAAAGATGTGTAGAAGATGGAGGGAGCTCCAAGCCCCAGAGATCCAGTGGCTGCCCCAGAGATCCAGGGGCTGCCTAAGAGTGCAGGGACCCCAGGGAGACTGTAACCAGATAAGCCCCTGCCCTCCTCGAGAAGCACAGGGGATTGCCCCAGGGGGCCTCAACCAGCAGCCAGCAGAGTCCCGGGAGATAACAGCGACAAGTCCAGAGGCCCACCCGCAGCCTCCCACCCCAAAACCGGTCGAGCTCGGAATCCAGCGACCCGGGACCCAGGGGCGACCAACCCCACCGGGGACTCAACAGAGCCTAGGGACTCAGATCCCACCAGGCAACCACCAGGATCGATCAGAGAGATGCCAAAAATCTTAAACCCCTGACCCGAGAGTGGCGAACACTTAGGCAGACCAAGGCACCACACTCCACACCTAGTGTGGCAGGGGGAGGGTAGGCAAAGATGCGTAATAGCACAAGAAATCCCTGGAGAGGGGAGGAGTCCAAGGCCCCACCTGACATGTACAGTCATACACAGACACAGTCACACACTCCCTCCCTCATGCTCACACATACACATACAACTTAAGACTTAAAAAAATGAATGCTAGACATCCACTCATGCTCCCCATACACACCCTATTCACTCTGGTCCCGGTACTGCTGCACAAAGGGTACACCCATCACCGGTCCCCAGAGTTTGTCCCTTTCTGCTAGGGTGATGATGAGCAGGCACCCCCGCCCAATGCCGAGCAAAGCAACCCACCACTCCAGACCCCAACCAGAGGGCCAGCTCCCACTCCTAGCCTCCAGCCCTGGGAAGCCAAGCAACAACAGAGGTGTGCTGAGATCCCTAGTCTCCTTCTGCCTGCTCCAATACAGTGTTGATGAATGATGATGAGGTGTATTCCATGGCTGTGGTGAGCAGACAGTGCAGGAATCGTCTGGCCTACAGCAGCTAATGCATCCACACAACCCCACTTCGCCCCACAGCCCTCTGTGTCTAAGTGCAGTTCAAAATTGGAAGTGGTCACCGGCACTCGAGATGAGGCTGAAAAATTCCCTTGCCAAATGCCGTTGAGTGTGCTCTCTCCCAAGGCCCTAAGTGTGTGTTTGCGTGAAATGTTGTTGGTGGAAGTGTTTAATGTGCAAATAAAATTGAGGGGCAGGCTGCCACAGAAATGTTGAAATGGGATCTATACGTGCACCTCCTGACTTGCCCACCCCCCAAGGTCCTATGTGCATGTTTGTGTGATGATGTGAGGGAGCAGGAGGAGAAAAATGTGTGTGGGGATGGGAGTAATGGCTGATTGGCCTAAGTCCTCCAGGGAGCCAGTGGCCCCAATAGGCACCCCCATTCCCCAAATGCCACCCAGGGCATGGAGACCCCAGCCCATCTCGCCAGGGCCCAAAGCAGCAGCATCGCAGAGCCCCACGGAGTCCGAGGGCACCAACCCAGCCCCACCACAGCAGAATATCTCCCCCCCATCCCTGCATTTGCACAACTTCCAGAATATGTAAGACATGAGACATCCAGGTAAGGTTGGTTCCATACTGAATATTCCCTCCCCCGTGATGGGACAGATTGTTATTATTTCAGAGGAGCCAAAGTGCACCTGAGGCCCCTGAGCCTGGGCCAGGCACTGCCGCGTGTTCCCACCTTCTTCTTGGCAGCATATAAGTCAGGACCCAGTCCCCAAGGCCCCGCCCAGACCCCCACACAGGGCCAGCCGCCCCGCACCCCGAGCTCCCAGACTCCCACCCCAGCCCCAACAGCTAATTTTCTTAAAGTGACTCTGGAAGGTGCTAAAAATGTGTTACTACCCCTTTGTCTGGTCTAGGGATGAGGAGGGGGTAACATATAAAGCATGTGCACAATGGTAAAATCCAACAAGGTTTCTATTTCAAAAAGGATTTAAATATATAAACGATATATATATATATATATATATATATATATATATATATATATATATATATATATATATATATATATATATATATATATAAAGAGAGAGAGAGAGAGAGAGAGAGAGAGAGAGAGAAAGAGAGAGAGACATAAACATACTATAATATAAACGAACTGGAACGGGCTCTGTACTCCTGATCTCAGGGTGAAAAGGCAGCAGCCATGACAAGTGCCAAGAATAAAGCAGCTGGGATTGCTTTGTGTGAGAGTGATTTTATGTAAAGACCTTCATGAACATGTTGTGCATCAAGCATAGCACTATTATAACTGTAAAAATAATATTCATTCTATAAGTGTTCAGTGTAATTTATGTTAGTTTATCCTTGTTTCTCCTTGAATAAAATGTGAAACTCTGAATAATGAAAGTGTGTATTAGTAGTAACTCTAACAGTAAGAGGTCAGGTGTTTGCTGTACTGTGTCTCATATCTTATTCAGTGGAGAATTCCCAGCAGAGGAAATTTCATCTGTAGATGTTTTGTTCCAGCTGCCCTCCTGTAGATTTGCACCAAGTGTACTTTTCAGGCACACTTTTAGAAAGCCTGCAAAACCAAAAATACAGGCATATCTGTTCAAACACAGAGCCCAGTGACCTGTAGTCAGATCAATAGTAAAAATAAAAAAGAAACAGGGAATAATTTTACTACTTAGCAAAGTAGCATCTGATTCACGCTAAAAGATACATTTTAAAATGATGATTGAATGAACTTCTAGTTACTAAAACCACTACTTTAATACAAGAAAACATGATGGGTTCACTTTTTAAGGTAAAATTAATCCAGTGATCAACCACTTACTTTGATTTGACAGTATAGTTTTGTTTTAAACTGATCATATTCACAGACTAGGTCTCAAAAGTCGTGATTTTGTGGCTGGTGGCAATAATGCTAATTACTTAGCATTTACATGCAAGTAGAAGTTATGCATGTTATAGATTAATACCAGAAATAACAAAGAGGCATTTGTATGTGTAAATTCTAGGCTAATAAAAAAAAATGCATATTACTATAAAACAGTTGTTACAATCTGTGAACTGACGCAAAATGATGAAGCTGAGTCAACATGATTCACTCCCCTGCTCTGAAACATGAAAGTTAAAATGTTGACCCTGGGACTGAACCAATGAAACCAACAAGGCAGTTACAGACAGGACATGTTTTGTTACCCTTCCCCTTCAATCAGCAGCTCAGTTAACCTTGGACCTTGCAACACTTTGGATTTAATACTGTTTTTTTTTTTTTTCAAAAAAGCAAGTGTATAACTTGTAAATGCTTAAAATGTTCTCCCTTCTTCCTCTTTCTCTCCTCTTTGCTTAACATTCCTGTAATTCACCTACTTGGTTCTTAATGGGAAGCCCTAAGCTCAGGCTCTAGCAGTCACATGATGGATTCAGACTTTCTCTCACTTTTCATGCTCTAAACAGAAGAACCAGCAGGCCATGCTCCTCTTCACATCTCAGTTCTGCTGCTTTTGTTAACTGTCTTACTAAAACTGACCTCTTCTCACAGGTAAGTTGTCTCTACTTGGATTTAAAATGGTACATTTAGTTCATTTGATTTGCTCAAAGCAGCTCTGTGCATTGGCTTAAAAAGTCTCATTGTGAGACATTTTCTTAAAATCTCAGAATATTATGAAAAATCATATAATTTTACTTCTAAAAACCCTATGAAACTTTTAAAGATGTATTGCTCTTTCTGTTGGTGATTTTGCTCTTGTTGAAGTAATTGCTACTGGGTGTATGAAAATCAAATAACCAAAAATGAAGCTTTCTTTTTTATTTTTATTTTTATTCAGAATTGTGTAATGTGATCGTGAGACATGGCAGTGGGAACTGTTTCTAATTATTTCTTCTACAAATGCAGTGTAATTTATTTTAACCCTCTCAAGCTCAAAATAAGCTTTGATAAAAGGACGAACAACTAAGTCCTTCAGGGGTACTTCTGAGTTTAAAATTGCTCATGAAATATGTATGTGGAGGTAGGTAGGTTTCAACTGTTGCAAATGTGCAACGTCTGCCTCCAGAGTGTTAACAAATATATCCAGAAGAGGCAAAATTCTCAACCACAGCTTCGGACACCATTTTGGCAGATTTTTGAGAAATTACACCTGGCTTTTAGTATTAGGGTGTTACTAATTCCCTACGATGCTAATATTTTTATTTAGAAGCTGCCATTCCTTGATGTTATCAGTTTAGCAGCCTTTATGGTCGTGAACCATTCGCTGGAGCGCTTCAGACAAATTCTCAGGAAAACTAAACTAGAAAGTCAGTTAAACTGAACTTGACTGACAGGTCTTTTTAGAGTAATTTTCTTTGTTTCATCTGGGATTGTGAAACTCAAACTGACATTCAAAAGAATTTAGTTCTAAGTAACTGAAGACATGCAGACACCTGAGAATCCAGGCCCTCGCTGCCTTTGTGTTTTACAGCAGAGCAGGGAGTCCCTGAGCGGGTTGGGGGATGGAAAAGCAGAAAGGTGGAGCTTTTTTACTCTAAGGCCTTCCCCCTCACTCCCCTTCTTTCTAGTGCCAAGCTTCTTGAGTAAGCAGAGGAAGAGCACATGGCTGCCTGGTGTTGAAACCACCCCCTTCAGCAGAAAGATGGTGCAAGTGTTCTGGTGGAGAAGCACATGTGCGGCTGTGCAGTCCCTCCCCTCTGACAAGTGCAGCAGAGACACGGAAGTAGAGTGAAGGCTTAGTGTGTGTGTGTGTGTGTGTGTGTAGCTGTGTGTGTGTGTGGAGGGAATGTATAAAAGGAGGGGGTGCATACATGCTTGGGTCAAATCAGAAGAAATAGTGATGGTGATGCCATGAAGGTTTTTGGAAGGTCAGAGGAGAAACGTTCATTTGGTTCTGAATGAGGTAAGAGAACCGATTCAGTCGTAGCATAGCTAGTTAGTTACAGCACGGTAAAGGTTAATGGAGGGTCGGGTTGTCCAAGAACCCTAATCTGTGAGTCTTTCAGTCCCTCTGCTCCGTATGATTGTCCTTGTGTTTTTAGTTTTAGGTAAAGGGACTGAATAGTCTCAAATTATTATGTTATAACACATAACAAGAAGGAAATAGGAAGTTGAAGCAATAGTTGTATACCTTCCTTGTGTTTGTATAATACTAAGTCACATGACTTGTGCCAAATTTGGTAATGCACTTTTTTTTTTTTACTTGGTACCTCAACCAAACCTTTTGTGGTCTTTAGGATCAAGTCTTTTAAAGCTTGCTCTTAACATCATGCTTTAACTTTTATTGCCCTTTAAGAGCATGCCAAAACTCACGGGAGCAGTGTGTCAGTGTGTGAAAGGTCAACCTAGAGAAGGAGGGACGGAGGAAGATAAAAGAGGGTCAGTTGCAAAGTATCCAGAAAATATTAAAGGTGTCGCATTTAGAATTTTGAAGAAAACAAATTAATTCGATCCATTTTTGGAAAAAAGATTGTAACTTCTGAATACCCTGCTCACTTTTATATGTATGAATAATTCATGTAGTGGGATTTCTTTGCTAATTTGAATTATCTTGGTGTAAAATTAAGACAATAATCACTATCTTACCCACTGTATAGATAGCTTCTAGCCATTAGAGAAAAAGACAACTTGCATAGGGTGTGCTTGAATTTTTTTCACTTATATATATATATATATATATATATATATATATATATATATATATATATATAGTTTTGTTTTTCTGTTAAAACACACTCAGTTATACATAATTAGTTCTGCAGTACATATGAATTATCCCAGTACAAAAGAAAATGTAGAGATACATTGCAATTTCAAACATTAGTTTTGTACTGTACTGTTTGTAACTGTACTAAGCAGACTGTTGTGTGTTGTTACTGTGTTTCAGATTTTCATCATCTATATTTCCTTATTCCTTCCTTCGTCATGTCGCTGCTGACTCACATACTGGCCTGCCTTTTTGGTATGGGCTCATGGGTAGCCATCAATGGAATGTGGGTGGAGCTCCCCCTGGTTGTGCCTGAGATTCCAGAGCATTGGTACCTGCCTTCCTATCTCACAATCCTCATCCAAATGGCCAACGTAGGTCCTCTGTTCATCACCCTGATGCATCGCTTCCGTCCAGGAGAATTAGATGAGCGACCAGTTATCTACTTTATCGTAGCGCTGGGAATTGTTGCAACATTCCTGCTGTCTTTTTTCTGGAGGCAAACAGTGACAATAGCTGGTTCATTGCACAGTGTGCCACTGTTGATTTTAAGTTTTCTGCTGTCTGTGGTGGACTGCACATCATCAGTCACATTCCTGCCTTTCATGATGCGCCTACGTCCGCAATACCTCACTACGTACTTTGTGGGAGAAGGCCTCAGTGGATTAGTACCTGCACTTGTGGCTTTAATTCAGGGTGTTGGTGTAGTTCATTGCAAAAATGCTACCTTGGCTGGAAACGGATCATCTGATAATTCCAGTATCGTGGGAAATGGAGAATTACAAGCTGTCTACCAGCCTGCCAAATTCTCTGTCCAGGTTTTCTTTGTGTTTCTCAGTGCCATGATGGTTGTGTGTCTGGTAGCCTTTATCCTACTGAATCACCATCCCGCGGTAGCCCTGGAAAGAAAGAGTGACCGGTATTTCAGTACGGACCAAGAGAAAAATGAACAAGGATTTTCTCTGCACGCCCAGACACCGGAGCAGAAACCAATGCTGAATCATTTGGAGTCTGTCCAAAAAGAACCAAGAAGTTCATTTGGAAAGGGAACATACAGCAACTTGGAAGTAGTGTTCATCTTTGTCGTGCTGGCTTGGGTCAATGCTTTGACCAATGCAGTGCTGCCCGCAGTGCAGTCCTACTCCTGTCTGCCTTATGGAAACAAAGCCTACCATCTAGCAGCCACTATGGCTGCTGTTGCTAACCCCATTGCTTGCTTCATTGCCATGTTTGTGCCAATAAGGTGAGTAATAGACATGTGCCAACATCTGTGTCAGTGATCATTTTGATCACATTTGAAAAATTTCTGTACAGCAATAAATGCTCTTGGAAATAATTCAGAAAACAAACAAACAAAAAACAGTTAGAGGTGTTTTGTCTTTAACTTTGTATGAACTAATCTCTGCATCTTTGTTCATAGGTCTCTCACCTTCATGGGGTCTTTGACCATTTTTGGTACAGGCCATGGGGCCTACATCATGGCCATGGCTGCACTGAGCCCTTGTCCATTGCTGGTCCATAGTACCTCTGGAACTGCTGTCATAGTAAGACCATATGTTTTCCTTTTTGCAGCATGCACATACCTGCAAAAGTAAAATAAATACATTTTAGCCTCTTTAAAAATGGGAATGTGTCAGCCAAATGTTATCTTTCATATTTTTCATAAGTAAACTTTCTAACAACCACATCAGCTCATCACTGTCTCATAGAGTAACTTTCCAAGTCATAATTATCAAAAAAAGACCAACTGAATAAAACCATCTTTCAAAATAAAAGTTCCTGGCTCACCCATTGTTGAATGCCTGTCTTCTATGGTATCAAAAGACAAAATAAATGTTTGAACATTCTCCTCATTTATGTCATCACTCTTCAGTTTGTTTTAAATCAGTTACCATTACCAAACTGTCTCCTAAAGGTTTTCCAATTAAGGAAGCAAATCTAGTTGAAGAACAGATATGTTGGCCAGATGTATTAATTAATGCTGAACTTGACTTTCCCGACCTGGCCTGGCATATTTTACTCAGGATGGTTTTCTGCTCAACATCCAACTTCTTAAACCCAAGACAGGTCCTTGTAACCAACATTGCCTTGTCTTTAAAAGCACTTCCTCCTTCAGCCGCTCAACATTTGAAGCAGCAGTTGCTGCTTTCATTGAAAGTTGACGATGATTGACAACAGTCATCAGAATATGCAATTGTGTAAGGCCATCAGAGTCAAAACTGGTATAGTTGGCCAAACTGATATCATTTCTACTATATTCTGTTTATATCGCCCAATACTGGTTGGTCGTCATTCATTTTTTGAGCTTCAAGTCCTGCCAGGTGTGTTCCAGTCAAAGGTCTAGCAGTTGAATATTACAGGTGCTACTGATACCACCCTGCTGGTTTCCTTAAACAACTCCTGGTTGAGGATTAGGATGTTGATGCAAAAAATGGGATCCATTTTGGTGATCAGCATAAGGACGAGGAGCCAAGTTGTTGTGGTTATGTATGGGTCTTCCACACACGGCTTTAACATGGCCAGTGTGTGTTGTTTTACTTTATGAAAGTGCAGTCATCCAGTTCACTAAGCAACTCAGAATAAGAATGAATGCCAACAGAAGAACACTGCAGGGAACTTAACAACTTTGGAGAGAAACTAAAAATACTGTCAGATTCTCAGGACCAGGACACATTGCTGCATAATTAATTACTGTAACTGATTTAATTTCAGCCACACTATTGATTTCCTGTCTTCTGCAGGTGCTGGCCTGGATCTTTTTCGTGCTGTCACTGTCTTATGTGAAGATCATCATTGGGGTGATTCTGAGAGATGAGGGACACAGCGCCCTCGTGTGGTGTGGTGCTGTAGTACAGCTTGGCTCCATGCTTGGTGCTTTAACCATGTTTCCACTGGTTAGTGTCTATGGACTGTTCAGGTCAGGTGATGCCTGCAACACCAAGTGTCCATCATAGACAATAAACGCATCAGCATTAAACACTACTGAGCAAACCTTAGACTAAACTGTACTTATGATAGAAGCTCTGAGTTCCAGCTGGTATGTTTCTTGCTTCAGGAAGAATGAGAGGTCACAGGTGATTCCTCACTTCTAGACTTATTTAAAGTATTTATACATGGAGTGAAAGTTACCAAAAACTATTTATATCCACATGGTCATAAATTCAGACTATGATAGACCAAAACTGAAGCTATCTATTAAACATTCATTTTACTTGAAATGTTGAGGTGATATAAATGTATTAAAGTAGGCTGTTTTTGTCCCTGTATGAGGAAATTGTAGTTTTGGCTTTTAAAAGTGCCTTAGTTTCTGTTGCTTATGAAATGAATACATTTTAATTTGTATAAAATACTGTTTAAATGGGCTTTGTTACTGGAGGGTGTTTGTTGGACAACACCAAATAAATGGTAAATGGTCTGTATTTGATATAGCACCTTCTAGAGTCATGGAACCCCCCAAGGCGCTTTACAACACAATCAGTCATTCACCCATTCACACACACATTCATACACTGGTGGGGATGAGCTACAATGTAGCCACAGCTGCCCTGGGGTGCACTGACAGAGGCGAGGCTGCCGAGCACTGGCGCCACTGGTCCCTCCGACCACCACCAGCAGGCACCGTGGGTTAAGTGTCTTCCCCAAGGACACAACGACAGAGACAGACTGAGCGGGGCTCAAACCTGCAACCTTCCGATTGCACTTAACTCCTGTGCCACCATCGCCCCACCTGTATAAATTGAGTTATGTGTAATAAAGTGAAAAGACACATGGAAAGCACCTAATTTACTGAAAACAAATATTTTATTAATCTAATCCAAGATTGTATGAACCATAAGCAGAAAAATGGCTTTTGGTGTATAAAAGATGTTTGCAAGAGAGTTGAGCAATAGAACTTAACATGTGACTGGCTTTGGTAAGAAGAGTGGACTTGTTAGCCTAACCTTAAGCTTGTAACTTTTTTGAATTACATTTAGACACTAAACACACACAAATGTTACTCCAGTTATGTGTATTTTTAGTCCTATTTTGTATTGTGCTTGTGAATCACATTTTTTTTCTTGTAAGGCAAACAAACATTTTCTCTTGTTTATTTGTTTATTTGATTGCATTGAGGTGTCACATAAATATTTTTATTGTATTTTGTAATGGCTTACTTTATTTGGAGCTTTACAAATGCATTCATCCCAATAACTCACTGGGCTGTTACTGTTCTCTCTGCAGTTGTGCATATTTTCTTGTCATGGTTTAAATTATAAATGGCCTGGATTTGACAAAGCACATTTTAAGGTTCCACAACACCCCACGGTGCTTTACAACACAACAGCATTTTTAACAGTAAGCGTTTGTCAAAGTGACCTATTGACACAAAATCTCCACCACATGTCAATGTCAACTCAAATATTTAATTTAGTGATGTGTCCGATGTGTTGACACTTCGGAGTGTGTGTCGGGTATCCAGGAAGATTTTTAGTGAAGCGTGTATCAAGGATTGAGTTGGTTACGCAAGCAGTGACGTTCAAGGCCTTGTTGGCCTTCCATACCATGTGACCGATTCAGGAACTGGCTTGCTGGTTCGCGCCGGATTTGAAATAAAAGGGGCAGCAGAATACAGTCACATTGTGCTGTGGAAACCCTAAGTCCTGTTAGTTTCCTTTCTCTTTTGGACCAGACAGTATATTAAAAGGACAGTTTACGACAATATTAAGAATATATTGCGATCAAAAGCATTTATTTTTTTCATGTTAAAAGGTTTACAGTTTTACATGAATTGTCCACTCGATGGCGAAATAGAGCAAATGAATCATCTCAGTGCCTCAAGATCAAGTCGACCAGTTGGATGGAAAGCTTCAGCTCATCATGAGGCTTTATCTCACCATCACTCATTTAATTCATGAAAAGGTATCCAAACGTTTAACTCTATAAATTGAGTTATGTGTAAAAAAGTGAAAAGACACAAGAAAAAAGTATTAAACACATGAAAGTAACAAGGTACAAAAAAAAGGCATAGTAAGCAGGGAGATCACCTGAAATCTGTCAGTACTGAGAGAGAACCCCGCCCCCAATCAGCACTAATATCAGCTGCCTTAGTCCTAATTGATGGCCTATAAAGGCTTCTCATTAACCAGGAGGCACACGGGGGGGGGGGGGTGGGGGGGTGGGGGGGGGGGTGTAAAAGGGACCACACGGATAGCAGTGATGCCTCGGACGGTGATTGGGACGCACGCGCAGGCGAAGCAGCAGAGGTTGGCGGAAGGACGACTTTGTGGTCTACATACGACGGTGGCTGGTGCGCGTTTTGCAATGTCCAACCCATTTGCGGTGCCCAGGGGGATCAGTACGGTGATTGGGGATGTGATAGATGCTACTGTCATGTTTCCTGGTATGTTGATGGTGGTTTGTCGGACGAGGGCCCAGTGCCTCAAAGCGCAGCAGCTTGAAATGTTTATGGGGGTGGAAGTGGATGTTTCTGAGTCGCGTTTGGGTGCTTTGGTTAAAGGGGTGGTATATGGCGTGCCAAATAAGGTTTCTGTTTCTGACGTGTTTTCCTCCCTGAGTGGAGCGGCGGGGGTGGCTATTCCGTGTCTAGGATTTGATGCTCGTGGATCCACTCCACTGTTAATTACTTGCGGTGAAGCTACCTACTCGTGTCATGTTGGGCTTTCTCATCTTCTCGATCAGGGCGTTTGAGGAGCCTCTTCTGATTGTGTGGCGTATAGGTCAGCGGTGGAGGTGGAAAAGTTTCAGGTGGAGCATAAGGTGTCTTATCCGGAGGCAGTGCGTCGTAAGGGGGTTAAGAGTGGTGGTGGGTTGGGTTCGGGGCCTCGATCGGCTGGTGGTGTGGAGGAGGGGGAAGGTGTTGTGGTGGTGAGGGATAAGAGGCCTTGTGGAGAGTGAAGCATGTAGCGACCAACAAGTCGGATGTTGCACGCAAGGTGACTGTTGCTGCAGAGACCTTTTTGGGATTTGGTGACGTGCTCCCCGAGGAAGTTTGGGGGACTGCGTGTTCATGCAGGGTTGGGGGCTCTGGGTCTGCTGCGGGTAATGGGATGTCCTTGGTGAAGAATGTGGGTGATGACGGTGATGGGATAAGTTTTCTTACGAGGTTGTGTGTGCATGTTTACTGGGGTGAGTGCTGGTGGTGGTGGGGGTTTTGTTGATGGCGGCTATGTGTGAATTGGGGTGGGGATGTACCTTTGTTTTGTTGAGTGCAACGGGAGGGGCTGGTTAGACTGTGTTGGTTGTTGTGGCAGCAATACGCCTTTTTGACGTCCAGCCTGCCTTTCTCATAATGAAAGAAGAAAGAGGCACACAGGAAAGACTTTGTGATGGTTAAAGGACAAACTCTACAAAGATCTTTGTAATCTTATAGTTGAAAACTTTTTGGACGGGAATGGTTATAAGCACATTCCCAGAATGCTGACCGTTTCTGTGAGAGCTCTGGCGGCCATTATCTGGAAGTGGAAAGAACATCAGTTCACCATAAACTGGTTTAGGTCAGGTGCTTCACATAAGATTCCTGTCTTAGACCAGCGAATAATCATGAGAGTTTTTTAAGAGCCAGAACGACTCAGAACTTCAGCAAGACCTTACATCAGCAGGTACTGGTGTTTCAAAGAAAAATGTGTTAAACCACGATGGCATCCACCGCTCACCACACAATATTCCATTTCTGGGAAAAAACAGACATGTAAAGGCTCAATTAAAGTTCATCAAACAGCATTTGGATTACTGGTCGACTATAGTATGTTCAGATGAAACACAAATGACATTCTACTAAGCGTGTTTGGAGAAGAAATGGCACTGCCCACCACCCCATGAACACCATATCAACAGTTTAATTTGGGGTGGAAGCATCATGGTGTGGGGCTGCTTTCAGCAAGGGATAATGGCATATATCATGTTATTGAAATCAGGATGAATGGAGAAATGTACTGGGACATTCTGGATGACAATGTGCTGCCATCTACCGGAAAGCTGAAAATGAAAAGAGGGAGGATATGTCAGCAAGATGATGATCCCAAACACAAGACAGAAAATGAGTAATTGGTTTCAAAGACATAAAATCAAGTTGCTTGAATGGCCCAGGCAATCACCTGACCTAAATCCCATAGAAAACCTATGGAGAGAGCTGAAGATCAAAGTTCCTAAAATAAGCCCAAGGAAACTTCAACATTTAAAGTCTGTCTGTGTGGAGGAATGAGCTAAAAAAACACTCCTGAACAATGCAGAAGACTGGTCTCTCCATACATGAGGCATCTAGAAGCTGTGATCAAGTGTGTTCAATACTTATTGCCTGTGCCATTTCACTTAATTTATTATGACTCAACTTGTATGCGTGTAATTGAAAAGACACAAGGAAAAAGTATTAAACACATGAAAGTAACAAGGCACAAAAAAGGGGGGTTCTGATTTCTTTTTATTAATTCAATATTTGGTTAGATGGCAACTTCTAGTGCAAATGTATAATAGTCTACTTAGAAATACCCTTACTGATAAAAACCTAACCTACATGATAAAAGCCAAACTGCTTAATTTTTCCACTGCACATCATTAACTGCAACACTAGATGTCAGCATCTGTATTTAAGTTGATCAGAGAACCGAGGATACCTGGAGGCAAGGTTAAAAATTCATGTATATCACTGATTGGAACCTCTGTTAACACCAGACTGAGCTGTTAGCTTCAGCTACTAGCAACTGCTTTGTCGAAAGAGAAAAACAAGCACTCGCCACTCAGGTTCCCGAATGTACTGGTAAAATCCAGATGCATGTTCAGTTTGTGGTCTGGTCCAGTTTGTTATTTTTTTTCCTTGTTCATCTGCAACCCTTAAACAACCCTTACCCCACTTCACATTAGGGGCATCAGTAATGTGGAATGGCAGCAAATCGTCACTGCTTCAAATAGAATCCATTATAGTCAATGGGGTGGGTATGATTCAAACGAGCTGCCATGTGGAAATTTTCAGATGTCCCAGAAGCAGCTTGCTACCAGTGTTGGGAGCGTTATTTTTAAAGAGTAATTAGTTGTAGTTAAAAATTACTTTGTCAAAAAATAACTCAGCTACAAGATTATAAAAGTAACTAATTGTCAAGAAAAATAACAATTTTGTTACTTCTTACATAAAAGAATGCAAGAAAAATGGGTTATCTTAATTAAACGTCCTTAATTCACTATAAATTATTACAATGCTAAAATATAAATGACTAAAATGAGTTGAACATAATAAAATGTACATCCAAATGTTTATTGTAAAACTGAATAATTGAAAAAAATTGTACTTAACAAGAGGAACTACAAACAAGAAGCATTGAATGGCCTGTAAATGGCCTGTATTTGATATAGTGCCTTCTAGAGCCCTGGAACCCCCCAAGGCGCTTTACAACACAATCAGTCATTCACCCATTCACACACACATTCACACACTGGTGGGGATGAGCTACAATGTAGCCACAGCTGCCCTGGGGCGCACTGACAAAGGCGAGGCTGCCGAGCACTGGCGCCACCGGTCCCTCCGACCACCACCAGCAGGCAATGTGGGTTAAGTGTCTTGCCCAAGGACACAACGACAGCGACAGACTGAGCGGGACTGGAACCTGCAACCTTCCGATTACGGGGCGAGCACTTAACTCCTGTGCCACCATCGCCCCCATGACACTAATCTAAACTATTCAAATGTCACTGATGAAACAAGACCCTAATCAACTTAATTTTATAATTGCAAAAGGGTTCCCGAGCGTTTAAATTGGCTCCCAGTGTAGTTAAATTACTCACATAAAAGTAATTTTGTAACAGTATTCTAATTTTTCCAGTTTCACATAATTGTTTGTTATTAGTAGCATTTCTATTACTGGTAATTTAACTAATAATGTTTATGTTTATGTATTTAGCAGACGCTTTTTTTCCAAAGCAACTTACAAGTGATAATCGGCATGTTGCCCTTGAGGCTAACAACAACAATAACAACAACAACAACAAACAATTTCCAGTCAGTCGTAGGTGGCAGTGAGGCCGCATGATAAATCATGGAGAGGAGGGAACAAGGAGTGGACAGTAGAGAGGGAAACGGGTGCAGGGAGGGTGCTAGTTTAGAAGATGCTCTCTGAAGAGCAGGGCCTTCAGGAGTTTCTTGAAAATCAAAAAGGAAGCCCCTGTTCTTGTAGTGCTTGGTAGGTCATTCCACATTTGTGGAACGATGCATGAGAAGAGTCTGGATTGTCCTGAGTGTGGTGTAGGCACTGCTAGCCGACGATCCTGTGATGACCGGAGCGGCCGGGCCGAGACGTAAGCCTTTGCAAGAGGATTCAGGTAGATGGGAGCCGTACCATCTCACACTTTGTATGCTAGTGTTAGCAATTTGAATTTGATGTGTGCAGCTAGAGGTAGCCAGTGGAGCTCAATGAACAGAGGGGTGACGTGTGCCCTTTTTGGCTGATTGAAGACCAGATGCGCCGCTGCGTTCTGGATCATTTGAAGAGATCTCACAGTACAGGCTGGAAGACCAGTTAGAAGGGCATTTCAGTAATCGAGGCAGGAGATGACAGTAGACTGCACCAGGAGCCGGGTGGCATGTTGTGTTAGGTATGGTCTGATCTTTCGTTTGTTATACAGCGCAAAGTGGCATGATCGAGCAACAGAGGCAACATGATCTTTAAAGGTCAGGTGTTCATCAATCACAACATCCAGATTTCGAACTGCTTTTGAAGGAGCGAGAGATAGGAAGTCATTTTGGATTGAGATATTGTGCTGTATGGATGGTTTTGCTGGGATGACAAGTAGTTCAGTTTTAGAGAGGTTGAGTTGGAGATGGTGGGATTTCATCTATTTTGATATGTCAGAGAGACAGTTTGCTATTCGTGCAAAGTCAGTGTTGTCGTCCGGTGGAAATGACAGATAGAGCTGGGTGTCGTCAGCATAGCAGTGGTAGGAGAAGCCATGTGATCAAATGATCTCACCCAGTGAGGTGGTGTATATGGCAAAGAGAAGAGGTCCTAGTACAGAGCCCTGGGGGACTCTTGTGGCAAGATGGTGCACAGTACAGAATTGTCCAAGCCAAGATACACTGAATGATTGTCCTGTGAGGTATGATTCAAACCAGTCGTGTGCTTTCTCTGTTATGCCCATGCTAGAGAGTGTGGACAAAAGGAATTAATAAAACATGCCCTTAAAAATAACACTTGAACAGGCATATCTGATGGAGAACTTAATTTTACTATCTTTAACAAGAGTCTGCTTCTAGACCTGCGGAAGGAGAAAAACAGAAAAGGGACACACAACAATACAACAGGAGCAAGCTATCACTGCGTCAACCTGATGAGGAAATACAAAATCAACATTGTTTTACTGAACAATCACACAATAATAAATCACAGTGCATTAAGTGCCAACCACAGCCTTAAGATATGTGTTGAACGTGCCCAAGTCCATACTTATGAGAGCACCATGTGAGCATCTGTGTGCATACACGCACTTGTATATGTAAGGTTTCTCCATAGGAGCACCCAATAAAGAGTGTGAGGAGCCACAGATCTGCTCCCCAAAGATGTGTAGGAGATGGAAGGAGCTCCAAGTCTCAGAGATCCAGGAGCTGCCCCAGAACTCAGGGACCTCAGGGAGACTGCAACCAGAAAAGCCCCTGCCCTCCTCGAGAGGCGCCGAGGATTGCCCCAAGGGGACCAAAACCAGCAGCCGGCAGAGTTCCGGGGGATATCAGCGACAAGCCCACAGGCTCGCCCGTAGCCTCCCACCCCCAAGGCGGCGGAGCCCGGAGCCCATCAACCCAGGACCCAGGGGCGACCAGCCCCGTCGTGGACCCAACAGAGTCCAGGGACTCAGATCCCACCAGGCAGCCACCGAGATCGATCAGGCAGATGCCAAAAATCTTAAAGCCCCTGACCCGAGAGCCACAAACACTCAGGCAGACCAAGGCACCACACTCCACACCAAGTGTGGCAGGGGGAGGGGAGGCGAAGATGTATAGCATCAAAAGAAGTCCCAGGAGAGGGGAGGAGTCGAAGGCCCCACCTGACATATACAGTCATACACAAACACAGTCACCCACTTTCTCCCTCATGCTCACACATACACATTAGAGCTGAAACAACTAATCGATTTAATCGATTATAATCGATTATTAAAATAGTTAACAACTTTTTTAGTCATCGATTAGTTGTTTAATAATCATATTTTACCGCATAAAGTCTATTTTTTACCACAATCTGACATCGGTTACAATCTGTTAAATTTGCCGCCAGTGTGTGGCAGTAATGAGCCACTGATCTACCAGTGGAGCCGCAGAAGAAGAAATGAGCCAATAAGTGCCCTCGGTTTTCATGACGTATCACGTTACTGACGCTCATCTTGCTGTGAGAGATGGCGGATCAACAAGAAATACGGAAGAAAAATAGAAGCGACAAAACAAGAGAAACCCCGGACAAAAACCTCACGAGTATGGGAGCACTTCACTAGATGCCTTGAAAAGACCGGTGACCTGCAAAATATGCAAAAACCATGGCACGACGGAAGCACGACGTCCCTAAGTGAACATTTGAGATGAAAACGTGGGGGCTGATGCAGCAGAGGAATGTCCGGTAAGTAACAGAAAATAAGCAAGATAACGCAGATCAAATTTGGGACTTAGTGTTAGCTGAGTTCGTTATAGTGGATGTTAAACATGTTTTTTTTGCCACGTCAGTTTACGGTGTTCTACTTCTGATTGACTAGATGCAATCGTGAATCTCCGTGTTGTGTATCATGCGCTTGCCAAATTTAGCACGTCTGTTTATAAGAATGTTCTCGTTAAGAGAAAAATGGCACAAACACATAACTATGTTCCTCATTCAAAAAAGGACAACTCCGTGGAGAAAAATATACAGACGAGCTGTGTCCAGGTGAATATAACGCGGCATAGTTGTACGCTTTCAATTTTTAAATACAGGATAAATTCAGAAAGTCCTTTTTTTACTATTAAAAGGCTGTTTTACCGTCTAACGCTGTAAAACGCCTCACAACACATTTTTGTCAAAATAAATGATCACTGTATATTGTTAATTAATTCAAATAATGTAATATTGATTTAGTGTTGCAGTGTGTGTGCTGCTTTATTTTATATGTGTACTTATTTCAGTCTATTTGTGTTTCTTATGCAGAAAAAAACAAGCAACGATGGACAACTACATGGGGAACAAGACACTCACCCCCAGCAATGCATACCACTTACAAACTCTATTCTAGATTCTACATTATTTTTATGGAATTTACCTCATATTTTGATGCCAAAAAATTATTCTGGACTGATATTTTGCACTGTTTAGCTCATTTTACACCACTGACTGTGTTCATCTGCAATAAAATAGATTGCAGTCAACTGCAAAAATTCTCTTATGTTTTTCTTTTTCTTAACTGAAATGTATTCATCACTTGTATAGGTTAAATAGCTAAACAATAACAAACCGATTAATCGATTAATCGAAAAAATAATCGACAGATTAATCGATTATGAAAATAATCGTTAGTTGCAGCCCTAATACACATACAAACAAAGACTTACGAAAATGCACGCCAGACACCCACTCGTGCTCCCCATACACACCCTATTCACTCTGGTCCCAGTACTGCTGTACAAGGGTACATTCATCAACGGTTCCCAGAGTTCGATCCTTTCTGCTGGGGTGCTGATGAACAGGCTCCCCCGCCCAACACCGAGCAAATCGACCCACCACCCCAGACCCCAGCCAGACGGCCAGATCCCCCTCCTTGCCTCCAGCCCCGGGAAGCCAAGCGACAACAGAGGTGTGCTAAGACCCCTAGTCTCCCTCCGCCTGCTCCAATACAGTGTTGGTGCATGTTGATGAGGTGTATTCGTGGCTGTGATGAGCGGGCAGTGCAGTCATTGTCTGGCCTATGCCAGCTGATGCCACCACACCACCCCTTTCCCCCCAACAGCCCTCTGTGTCTAAGTGCAGTTTAAAATTGGAAGTGGGTACCGGCACTTGGATTGGAAGTGGGTACCGGCACTTGGGATGAGGCTGAAAGATCCCCTTGTCAAATGCCGTTGAATGTGCTCACTCCCAAGGCCAAGTGTGTGTTAGCGTGGAATGTAGTTGGCGGAAGTGTTTAATGTGCAAATAAAATTGGGAGGCAGGCTGCCACAGGAATGCGGAAATTGGGTCCATACCCGCACCCCCTGACTTGTCCACCCCCCAAGGTTCTATGTGCATGTTTGTGTGATGATGTGAGGGAGCAGGAGGAGAAAAATGTGTGTTGGGATGGGGAGGAATGGCTGGTTGGCCTAAGCCCTCCAGGGAGCCAGCTCCCCCAACTTGCCCCAATAGGCACCTCCGTTGCCAAAATGCCACCCAGGGCATGGAGACCCCAGCCCATCTTGCCAGGGCCCAAAGAAGCTGCATCGCAGAGCTCCACAGAGTCTAAGGGAACCAACGCAGCCCCACTCCTGCAGAATATCTACTCCCATACCTGCATTTGCACAACTTCCAGAATATATAAGACGCAGGACATACAGGTAAGGTTGGGTCCTCCCCCTGCTGGACATCCCCCTCTCCCGTGATGGGACATCAGAGGAGCCAAGGTCTACCTGAGGCCCCTGAGCCTGGGCCAGGCACTGCTGCATGTTTCCGCCTTCTTCCCGGCAGCATACATGTCAGGACCCGACCCCCAAGGCCCCGCCCAGATCCCCACATGGGGAAGTCCCGCTTTCACGCCAAGAAGGGTACAGCTGCAAACCCGCAGATCGCAGAGCAGATTCATGCCTGCAGCAGTGAGTCTGCGGGTCTCTGGATCTGCAGCCATAGACTGTTCATCACATCTTCCTCGTTCTTCATAGGCCATGATGTGCCTGGGTGTAAACATCTGCTCCTTTAGATCCTGATCAGCTGATGACAGCTTCAAAACACCGCGCTGCTAAACCAAAGTAACACACACATTTTCTTATCAGTAACGGAAACTGCATTATGGCAAAAAAGTAATTAGTTAGATTACTGGTTACTGAAAAGAACAACTTCTTTTAGTAACAGCATTGTTTTAAATGCTGTTATTTCTGTCACTGCTTGCCGTGCCGCACCACGCCGCTAAGGACAGGATTGGGTTCCATTTTTGCCACAAGCTGCTTCTGGGACACGTCAACTTCCATAGTTAACAGAGCTAGACAGGAAGTCACACACGGTTTCAGTGTAAAATGTTTGGTAATTTTTTAAATAAAAGACTAGTACAGTGATGCAATTTCATATCTATGTAGATTACATCAATACATGTGACCTTATTTACTCCCAGCATCATTCCAGAAGGGCAGGGGTGGGTTTTTCGTGGCTTTAATCCTGGCAGTGGAGAGGAACAACTTTATTACATCAAACAGAGATATGCATTTATGCTATGAATATTATGTATGTTATGAAGAAAACCATGTTTGAACATGGTTTTCTTCTTTTTGGTTTAATTGCAGATGGCATAAACAAACTGTGACCTTTGAAGTCTCAAGGGATCTTGTGAGCTCACGATTCTAGTGAGGAGCGCGGCAGAGAAGCTGCTTTGCGCCAGTGTGCACTGGCACGCAGCAAAGCTTACAAGTAAATTGTTCTGCTGCTACTCCGACAACAAAAATAATGGCACTCATTTAAGGAGTTTGATTTGAACAAGTCATCTTCTTTTTGAAGAGCTTTCATGGATCATCAGGGCTCCACTTGTATCATGTCCTCGTCTCACTAAATCTGAGCTTGCTTTACCCATTTAGGTGTGTGTGTGTGTGTGTGTGTGTGTGTGTGTGTGTGTGTGTGTGTGTGTGTGTGTGTGTGTGTGTGTGTGTGTGTGTGTGTGTGTGTGTGTGTGTGTGTGTGTGATGAGGAACTCCCAACCAGTCAGTCTAATTCAGATCCCAGAGAACATCTGGGGTCATCATCTGCTGGTGTCTCATACCTGACCTATTCTCCTTACTGCCTCCGGTAGTTTTAGTAACTTATGGTGTGGTGAGTTTTAAAGTAGCTTACCTGCTTGGAAGGATTGTAATGTCTGATCCTGAATAAGTCAATTTGTAACCTGAAATGGAGAAAAGTCAACAAATCTCCTTAAGTCTGAAAAATGTGAGTTAAAAAAATACAGAGAGAGAAAAAGGAGAGTATGTTCTACCTTATCATTTAGGCTTAGAGTGACATCTCTTTTTCTTAGAGATCCTCCTTTCTTCTGTCTGTGAATACGGGAAAAGTTGTGACCATAATTTCAATTTAAAACACATGAGGGGAAATCCTAGCCCGTGCTGCTCTTTAATGGGCCGTCATGGGATTGGGGTATGCAGAGAATGATTGAATTTTGTGAGAAGGCCAGGAACGATCAGGTCTCGCCTGCTGTTATGCAATCGACCATTCCCCACTCCCAACGCAACGTCTGGTAAAACCTGGTACAGTTAAAGGAGGGAGAGTTGGGGGAGGGGGACTGGAGTCTGGAAATCTCAAACGTCTGGACCAAAAGACAGAATAACTTCTTCTTTCAACTGACTCAACCCTCATGAAAAAAAAATCCCATACTAAATTGAATCCCTCTGATGCTTCATATCAAAGGCAAAGATCTTAAACTACATTGATTTTAATGGCTTTATATGAGTCTTTTTACACTGACATGCATGAAATCTCACATTTCCTCACAGATGGAAACATATGGATTAAATACAGCGTTCAGCTTGCTGTTTTATACATTTGATTGTGTCACGTCTGTTTCTTTTGTCATCTTTTTTCAGCTGTTCTCAGGTTGCTTAGCTCTCCTTGACCTTGTAAAGATAAAAACTCAACTTTACTGCAAACGTTAACACCCTTTGTGTTGGATTCCACCTGTCCAGTGTCTCCTGTCAGTTAAGCAAAAGAGATTACTTTTCCCGTTAAGCCCATTATAATCAAATGGACTTGGCTTCTTCATTATTTTCTTCTTCTTCACAACAAGACATAAAGTAATCAAAAGTTAAAAGCAAACACTCAAGGAGGCACTTAGCAAAAAAGAAAAGCTTTTATGATAAAACATTCATATACAGTACAGAGTAGGAGACAGGTGATCTTTGAGGAGCATAGGGTTGTCTTGTGGTCAATTTTGTGTGATATTGCTTGTGGGAGTCTTGAGGATGAATTTTGCTAATAACATCCCCGCCCACATATCATCCACCAGATGATCCTGACAGAACAACTAATATCTGAACGTGTTTCCTCAGTGGTGTGAAGTATGCCTCAAAAAGCTGTTGGAAGCTAAAGTGGAGACGGGTTTATTACTCTGACAAGCTGATGACAGCAGCGTCTGGTTGAGATGAGCACACACACACACACACACACACACACACACACACACACACACACACACACACACACACACACACACACACACCTCATACTAGCATCTGATATCTTTTTAGTCAGTGAACTCATGATTTACCAGTAGCAATGCAAAATCCATTGTTTTATGGCTTATGAACTCACCATTGTTAAATACTAGTTTATTAGACATAATCGATGTGGAAATTTTTATTTTCAGAATCATAAATATTGTGTTAATTAGAAACTGAAAAATTTTTTTTGAGATGAACTAGAATGAGACGCAATCTGTCTCATCAGGTCAAAGTTGTATAAGATGGGCAAGTTAGCCGATGAGAATCAGTGCATCTCCATTCATCTCGTTTAGTTCTTTTGTGGCTCTTTGTTCCCTGCTTTGGTTTATAGTTGTGTTTGATACAGATGTGGACAGCTGTGAGCCATCAAACACGCTGCAGTTGATCAAAAGGTATCTATTAGTCAGGATTGGTATGAGAAGAACCATTGGGAGGGCTGCATCTGACAAAATATATTTTAGTTTATAACATCTGTTAGTGATTTTACAAATGCACTTTGCTATTGAACAAACAAACTTGTGTGTTTACATACTTTTTGTGAGGACAATTTTGCAACAGAGAAATGTGTCCAAATGTTTGGAGCCAAAATTGCCCAGATTACAGAACTTATTACTCAAGCACCACAGAAATAGTTCATTAAAAGTGATTTAAAGTACATGTAAATAATTTTCATGTAATTTTTGAAAAAAGTATAGTTTTTACTTACTGAATACACTAAAGCTGTTATAGCAAATCTACAGAACGAGCTAGGTTTTTAACGTAAACGGGGTCACAGGACTTTCACCCCTCCCCTCGGTTGTCTTCTCTGAGATACTTTTGCCGGAACCGGGGACCCACATTTCAAGTCAAAACGAGAAGGCACTAAATGTCAGTCACTGTTTTCTAGGTCTAAACGGGTTTTGTTGCCCGTGACTTTAAATGGTGTTTTTCATTTTGGGACTCTGGCAGTTTGCCTGGCTGGTTGCAATTAAGGGAACGATGAGTGCCGTGCTTAGGGTCAT